GGAAAGAGAGGGAAAAAGTGGGATACTGGCATGTTCAGCCTCCCAGCTGCAATCCCTGCAGACACCACTGCTTGGAGTGGGGCCACCACCACAAGGACCCCAGAGCCACCCCAGTCCCAGCTCCTTTGCCCAGCCATGCCCTGGGCAGCTCCCTGCAGCTGGCACAGCCAAGGAGGCTCTGGTCTGTAGGTCTGGGGTGCCCAGCCACGTGCCCAGCAGCCCTCTGGGACCAGCCACGTTGCTCCAGCCATGCTGCTATTTCTGCATCACTTGGTGAAGGAACAGCCACGTGCAGAAAGCACCGAGCAGGGAAACTGCCCCCCAGGGGCATCAGCATCACTGCACCCAGAGCTGCCTTTGCTGATGTGTCTTTTCTTTTAAATCCAGGTCTTTCTGGAAAGGAGAACTGGAAGAATCCACTGAAATACTGCTGGTAAGTGACATTTCTCCACATCATGAGAATGCCCATCCCAGACGGCCCCAGCCAAAAGGGGTTGCAGGGTGGCTTGGGGAGGGTGGCACCAACCTGCCTGAGGTCTGGGACCCTGAGCACCAGCCTGTGGGCACGGCAGTGGTGGCTGGGAGTGGCAGCCTGGCTTGGCCCCTCATCCTGCCTCCACAGGGGACATCCCCTGGGGAAGAGCCCTGGAAGGGCTCCTGTCACACCACTGGCCGTGCTGGATGGGTGCACTGGAACTGCACGTGCAGGATTGCTCTGTCTTCTTCACTTCTTCCCTAGCTTCTGTTTGGTTTTTGTTTTTTACTCTCTCCAGTTAGTCAAAACAAGGACTTCCAAAATAGGCGAATTGTCCAACTACGTCAGGTGAGGCTCTGGCTCCGTGGGAGCACTGGGATTCCTTCCTAAGGTTTGCTGCCAACTCCTGCTCAGGCTTTGAAAGTCAGATTCCTTGAGCCTCAGAGCAGGGTTTAAGTGCACCCAATGTACCTTGTACACAGAAAAACCCAGACACTGCATCAGGGGAAAAAAAAAACAAAAAAAGGTTAGACTCCACACTCAAAGCAAAGTTCTCACATGGCAGAAAGAAGCTGTGGGTGCTTTGAGGCGGGCAGAGGGTGTGGGGCACGGTGGGGAGCTCTGCATCCCGTGCCTGCCAGCGGGACTGCGTGGCACCGGGCAGTGACACTGCTCCTCTGCCACCTCAGATCCATCCATCCCTTTGAAATCCCCGAAATCATCAGCCTGCCTATCGACCAAGGAAACCCTCTCTACCTCAAATGGAAAGAAGCTGTGGGTGCTTTGAGGCGGGCAGAGGGTGTGGGGCACGGTGGGGAGCTCTGCATCCCGTGCCTGCCAGCGGGACTGCGTGGCACCGGGCAGTGACACTGCTCCTCTGCCACCTCAGATCCATCCATCCCTTTGAAATCCCCGAAATCATCAGCCTGCCTATCGACCAAGGAAACCCTCTCTACCTCAAATGGATAGAGGAAAGCGTCCCACGTTTTTGCCCCCGGGCTGAGCCGTGCCCAGCTGGGCTGCTCTCGCTGCGCCCGCGGGAGGTGCCCACACGGGGGATGCGGCTGCTGTCCTTACGGGTCTGCTGTCACACAGAATTTGGGACTGGGAATTGTTGTTTGCACCCACAACACCCCCTCCTCGGCCTGATCCTGTGCTGCGGGGAGCACCGAGCAGCCCGGAGAGGCTGGAG